TCCCCTTTCTTGTCTGGGATGTCATTGCCTCACAAACTGCCAGACTCATCTGATCTCTTTTTTCGATAGAGTGACAAGCTGGATAGATGCAGGGAATGCCGTGGATGGAGCGTGTCTGGATTTCAGGAAGGCCTTCTTCGATAAGGTCCCCCATGACCTTCTGGCAAGGAAACTAGTCCAATGTGGGCGAGGCAAAACTACAGTGAGGTGGATCTGGAATTGGTTAAATGGACGAACCCAGAGGGTGATTCTCCCCAAGGCTTCCTCCTCTTCATCCTGGAAAGAAGTGACGAGCGGAGGGCCACAAGCAGGGTTCCCTCCTGGGCCCAGACCTCTTCAGGATCTTCATTAATGACTTAGATGAAGGGCTCAAAGGCAGGATCATCAAGTTTGCAGATGGGACCAAATGGGGAGGGAGAGCCAATACTCCAGAGGACAGAAGCAGGATTCGAAATGATCTTGACAGATTAGAGAGATGATGGGCCGAAACTAACAAAATGAAGTTCAGCAGTGACAAATGCAAGATACTCCACTTTGGCAGAAAAAACGAAATGCAAAGATACAGAATGGGGGACGATGAGGCCTGGCTCAAGAGCAGGACGTGTGGAAAAGATCTTGGAGTCCTCGTGGACAAGAAGTTAAACATGAGCCAGGAATGGGATGTGGCAGCAAAAAAAGCCAATGGGATTTTGGCCTGCATCAATAGGAGCCTAGTGTTTAGATCCAGGGAAGTCATGCTCCCCATGCTCTATTCCGCTTTGGTTAGACCACACCTGGAATACTTTGTCCAATTCTGGGCACCACAATTCAAGAGAGATATTGACAAGCTGGAATGTGTCCAGAGGAGGGTGACTAAAATGATCAAGGGTCTGGATAACAAGCCCTATGAGGAGCGGCTCAAGGAGCTGGGCATGTTTAGCCTGAAGAAGAGAAGGCTGAGAGGAGACATGAGGGCCATGTATAAATATGTGAGTGGAAGCCACAGGGAGGAGGAAGCAAGCTTGTTTTCTGCTTCCTTGGAGACTAGGACGCAATGGAACAATGGCTTCAAACTACAAGAGAGGAGATTCCATCTGAACATGAGGGAGAACTTCCTGGCCAGCTGGACCAACATCCAGTTGATGGATACCTGTCTCACACCGAGCTGGCTCCCCTGAGAGCTCCCCTCATCCCCATGGAGCACTGCACTACTCGCTTCTTTGAGGCTTGTGACCTAGACAACGATAAGTACATCGCTCTGGAGGAATGGGCCAGCTGCTTCGGCATTAAAGAGAAGGACATTGACAAAGATCTGGTGATCTAAATTCAGCAGCTTCATCCACTACCCACAATTCAACATTTTCTGACTGTGAGAGCCGTTCAGCGGTGGAACTCTCTGCCCCGGAGTGTGGTGGAGGCTCCTTCTTTGGAAGCTTTGAAACAGAGGCTGGATGGCCATCTGTCAGGGGTGATTTGAATGCAATATTCCTGCTTCTTGGCAGAATGGGGTTGGACTGGATGGCCCATGAGGTCCCTTCCAACTCTTTGATTCTATGATTCTATGATTCTATGGTGCAAGGTGTCACTGGACACAATATTCCAGGTAAGGTCTTAAAACTACACCCAGCCTTTCACATCTGCAAGACTTAGGGACATAGGAATTGCCCACCACCCAACTGAAAGGTCTAAGAACTGGGCATGTTTGGCTTGCAGAGGAGAAGGTTGAGAGGAGCCATGTATAGATATGGAAAAGGGTGTCATAAGGAAGAGGGAGGAGGCTTCCTTTCTGCGGCCCTGGAAACTAGGACTCAATGGAGCTATGGGTTCAAATGACAGGAACGAAGATTCCACCTGAACATGAGGAAGAACTTCCTGACCATAAGAAGAGCTGTCCACCAATGGAACTCCTTCTTTGGAGGCTTTTAAACAGAGGCTGGATGGTCATCTGTCGGGGATGCTTCGATTTTGCTTTTCCTGCATGGCAGAAAGGGGTTGGACAACATGGCCCATGGGATCTCTTCCAACTCTATTGTTCTATGACTCTATGAAATGGGGCAGCCAAATGAGAAAGGTTGACATGCCTTTGGTCACAAGCATCCCTCTACATGGCATGAAGGCAAAGTAACATTCAAAGAAAGTGTTGGGGAGGCCAATTTTGGGGAAAGACCGTCAAGGCTTAGAGTGGGATCCCCAAGAGAGATGTTGCAGGACTTCCCAGAACATTCCAGCACATTTGCGTGGTGATGAGCCTGTCAACGCAACGACCTTCCCTTGCACTCCTAGAGACATGCAGCCTCCGTGTCCCAGTGCAAGGGATCTGGCTGCAGACTCCAGGTGGTTTCTCTCATCCAACGTACAAGGCGCTTTCTCAAAAAGCTTATTTCCATCTGCAGCGTGTAGACAAGGAGACATGATCTCCTTTGGTAAGCCAAAAAGTACCAGGTTCTCTGAGAGAGAAAGGAAAACAAGATCACGAGAGCTGCTCAGCAGTGGAACTTTCTTCCCCAAAATGTGGTGGAGGCTCTTTCTATGGAGGCTCTTAAGGAGAGGCTGGATGGCCATCTGTTGGGGGTGCTTTGAACGTGATTGTCCTGCTTCTTGGCAGAATGGGGTTGGACTGGATGGCTCATGAGGTCTCTTCCAATTCTAGGATTCTAGGATTCTAAGGCAGGCAGAATAACTGGCACAGAATATCTCACTTTGCAAACAGAGGGTGCATCTATACCAGTCGTTCCCAACCTGTGGTCCATGGACCACCAATGGTCCACAAGAATGAAAATATGGTCCGTGGCCTAACGGGGATGTCAGAAAGAGGCTGACTACCCACGAAAGATTACTACGACCACATCAGCTCTAGATCTGCCTCAGGGGAGCGTGCTTGCTCCATCCATGTTCAACATCTACACAAATGACCAGCAACTGCCAGAAGGGACAGAGAGTTTCATCTATGCTGATGATCGTGCCATTACCACTCAAGCAGGGAGCTTTGAGATGGTTGAAAAGAAGCTCTCCGAAGCTTTAGGTGCCCTTACTGCCTATTACAGGGAAAACCAATTGATCCCTAATCCATCTAAAACACAGACATGCGCCTTCCACCTGAAGAACAGACAAGCATCGCGAGCTCTGAGAATTACCTGGGAAGGAATCCCACTGGAGCATTGCAACACACCCAAATACCTGGGAGTCACTCTGGACCGTGCTCTGACCTACAAGAAGCACTGCCTGAACATCAAGCAAAAAGTGGGTGCTAGAAACAACATCATACGAAAGCTGACTGGCACAACCTAGGGATCACAACCAGACACAGTGAAGACATCTGCCCTTGTGCTATGTTACTCTGCTGCTGAGTATGCATGCCCAGTGTGGAACACATCTCACCGCACTAAAACAGTAGATGTGGCTCTTAATGAGACATGCCGCATTATCACGGGGTGCTGCGCCCTACACCATTGGAGAAATTACACTGCTTAGCCGGTATTGCACCACCTGACATCCGCCGGGAAGTAGCAGCCAATAGTGAAAAGACCAAGGCAGAGACATCTCCAGCTCATCCCGTTTGGGTATCAGCCAGCACGTCAACGACTTAAATCAAGACATAGTTTTCTTAGATCTACAGAGACACTCGCTGGAACACCCCAGCAAGCGAGAGTCCAAAAGTGGCAGGCCAAACCCAGCACCTCAATCCATGGGTGATACCAGATGAGAGACTCCCCCCTGGGCACACAGAAGACTGGGTGACTTGGAAGGTGCTGAACAGACTGCGCTCTGGCACCACGAGATGCAGAGCCAATCTTAAGAAATGGGGCTACAGGGTCGAATCCTCAGCATGCGAGTGTGGAGAAGAGCAAACCACAGACCACCTGCTGCAATGCAACCTGAGCCCTGCCACATGCACCATGGAGGACCTTCTTGTGGCAACCCCAGAGGCACTCCAAGGGGCCAGATACTGGTCAAAGGACATTTAACCAACTACCAAGTTTGCAAAATCTGTTTGTGTGTTTTTTCTTTTCTTTTTAATCTGTGTGTTTGTTTTGTTCTGTTAGAATTGTAACACAATGGTTGCTGATGACACGATAAATAAAATCAGCTCTAGATGATTAAATATGTTTTTTTTTTGTGGGCAAGCAGATGGTGACAACTGGATGGCATATGCTCTGTATCAGAAACTAGAGCTGATGTGGTCTATCCAATGCAATTTTCTGAATCAGCACCCCAAAGAACCAAACTGAATCCAAAGATGACAAAAAACTGAGTCGTTGCTGTTTTGGTACTAATGTTGGAGAGTGATCCCTGGTCACAGTGGTCCCTGGTCAAGTGTTCCCTGGTCAAAGTGGTCCCTGGTAAAAAAAAAAAAAGGTTGGGAACCACTGATCTACAATGTAAAATGAAGGCAATTTGGCACTAGTGCTTTGGGAATAATCATTTCACAAGGTCTTGGCCCTCCTCTGCCAAAGAGTTCCAAACATAATCCCACAATGGGCCCACACTCTGTAAAACTACCACTCTCATTATTCCATAGCATTGTGGCAGTTCAAGTGGTATCAAACTGCATTAATTCTACAGTGTAGCTGCAGCCTTACTCCTTTATACGGCCTCGGTGGCATCATCAAATACCCAAATTTAATTGTATTGTCGAAGGCTTTCATGGCTGGAATCACTGGGTTCTTGTGGTTTTTTTCGGGCTATAGGGCCATGTTCTAGAGGCATTTCTCCTGACGTTTCGCCTGCATCTATGGCAAGCATCCTCAGAGGTAGTGAGGACCTCCTCACTACCTCTGAGGATGCTTGCCATAGATGCAGGCGAAACGTCAGGAGAACTGCCTCTAGAACATGGCCCTATAGCCCGAAAAAAACCCACAAGAACCCAAATTTAATTGGCTACATAACAAGTATGATATCATCCCATCATCCCATAATTAAAAATTGGGGAAGGGCAATAAGGCAGAACTTGGCGGTGGGAAATGGTCAACGATGGACCCAAGCTCAGGAGAACCAACAAAACCAGGTGGTAGAAAAGTTGGTTGTTGTTTTTTTTTTTTTTGAGGGAACATTTCCACACTACTGAAATTGTGCATTTCTAACCAAAAATCAGAGGAAAAAGCTTAATATGCTGTGCTCATAACCCCAAGTCTTCTCAACAGCAACATGTGGGATATAACCAAAGTTGTGAGAAAACTGGAAGATAGACAGAAAGGAACATTGAGGGGGGAAATCCACGGCGACAGAAAGAGACAACAGTGTTGGTGAGCCATCAAGTCCAAGTTTGTGCAAGTTCAGGATGAGCAGGAAAAAAATACAATACAACACGACAACAACAACAAAACAGAAGTCCCAGCGCTTGACGCCAGCGGATCATTTGAAAACGGACTGAAACGTTGGGCACTCTGGGCTCTTCATTTTCTTCATGAACTTCTTGAACTCCTTGTTCTTCTTGTCCCACTTGTGGATGGCCGTCAGCAGGTACTGGGTCTTCACCTTGCGCCCCATGATGAGGAAGTGGTTGTTGAGGTTGTCCAGCTGGTGGCAAGGGCAGTCCGCCCCGTTCTTCAAGTACAGCACCAGCTTCTTGAGGTCCTTCTTCTTGATGGTGCCCAGCTTCAAGGGCTTCTTCTTCTTGGGGATGATCTTCTTGTCTCCGTTTTCTTTTTTCACCTCTTTGATCTTCATCTTTAAAGCTGGAAGTTGGAAGAGAGGACAGTCATGTTAGTCTCTCGTGAGGAAAATAGGTGACACACAGAGAACTACAGCTCAAGAACGAATGATGTTTTTGGAACTCCGTAACAGATCCAACACGGACCACTTATGATTTTTCCGAAATACTTTAGAATCAAAACGGGGGTCATGCGAATTTCGTTAAGACAAATGAAGCAGGGGTTTTTTTTTAGTCGTGCACACCCTTAATATGTTTTGGAAAGGCATAACCTTTGAGATCATAACCTTCTGGAAAAATGATGCCATAACCTTTTGGGAAATTGAAATCTCCATAACTGGGTTGTTGTAGGGTTTTTTTTTGGGCTATATGGCCATGTTCTAGAGGCATTCTCTCCTGACGTTTCGCCTGCATCTATGGCAAGCATCCTCAGAGGTAGTGAGGTCTGCTGGAACTAGGAAAATGGGTTTATATATCTGTGGAATGAACACGGTGGGACAAAGAACTCTTGTCTGTTGGAGGGAGGTGTGAATGTTTCAGCTAACCACCTTGATTAGCATTTGATGGCCTGGCAGTTGTTTGGTGTGGCTTGTTGGTGCCTGGGGAAATCTTTTGTTGAGATGTGATTAGATTAGATTAGATTAGAAAAGATTGCCCCAGGCAGCAACAAGCCGCACCAAACAACTGCCAGGCCATCAAATGCTAATCAAGGTGGTCAGTTGAAACATTTACACCTAGGTCCAACAGACAAGAGTTCTTTGTCCCACCCTGTGAAGCTGGCGGGGCCGAGAGCAGGGCCTCCCCGGACGATCTTAATCTACGGGGTGGAATGTAGAGGGAGATACATTCGCACAAGTAAGCTGGGCCGGAACCGTATAGGGCTTTATAGGCCAAGACCAGCACTCTGAATTGTGCTTGGGTGTGCTGCTCATCTCCATTTTTAAGCCAAAGAGCAAGTGTTTTCCTTAGACACCTCCAAGGTCATGTGGCCGGCATGACTGTATGGAGCGCCGTTACCTCCCCGCTGGAGCCTAACTATTAAGCTACTCACATCTGCATGTTTTCGAACTGCTAGGTTGGCAGAAGCTGAGGCTAACAGCGGGAGCTCATGCCGCTCCCCGGATTCAAACCTGCAACCTTTTGGTAAGCAAGTTCAGCAGCTCAGCGGTTTAATTCACTGCTCCACATACAAATGGCATAATAAAATAGTGTCCTTTTTATGAACTACTACCTATTGGACTACTCACATCTGCATGTTTTCGAACTGCTAGGTTGGCAGAAGCTGGGGCTAACAGCGGGAGTTCATGCCGCTCCCCGGATTCAAACCTGCAACCTTTTGATAAGCAAGTTCAGCAGCTCAGCGGTTTAATCCACTGCTCCACATACAAATGGCATAATAACATAGTGTCCTTTTTATGAAGTGGTGAAATCAAAGTTTGGTTTTTGGAATATATATATATATATATATATATATATATATATATATATATTCAAGCTGTGGATGGTTGAACTACTACCTATTGAACTACTCACATCATGTTTTCGAACTGCTAGGTTGGCAGAAGCTGGGGCTAACAGCGGGAGCTCATGCCGCTCCCCGGATTCAAACCTGCAACCTTTTGGGAAGCAAGTTCCGCAAATGGCATAATAAAATAGTGTCCTTTTTATGAAGTGGTGAAACCTATGTTTGGTTTTTGGAATATATATATATTCAAGCTGTGGATGGTTGAACTACTACCTATTGAACTTCTCACATCTGCATGTTTTCGAACTGCTAGGTTGGCAGAAGCTGGGGCTAACAGCGGGAGTTCATGCCGCTCCCCGGATTCYAACCTGCAACCTTTTGYTAAGCAAGTTCAGCAGCTCAGCGGTTTAATCCACTGCTCCACATACAAATGGCATAATAAKATAGTGTCCTTTTTATGAAGTGGTGAAATCAAAGTTTGGTTTTTGGAATATATATATATATATATATATATATATATATATATKTATATTCAAGCTGTGGATGGTTGAACTACTACCTATTGAACTACTCACATCATGTTTTCGAACTGCTAGGTTGGCAGAAGCTGGGGCTAACAGCGGGAGCTCATGCCGCTCCCCGGATTCGAACCTGCAACCTTTTGGGAAGCAAGTTCAGCAAATGGCATAATAAAATAGTGTCCTTTTTATGTTTGGTTTTTGGAATATATATATATATATTCAAGCTGTGGATGGTTGAACTACTACCTATTGAACTTCTCACATCTGCATGTTTTCGAACTGCTTGGTTGGCAGAAGCTGGGACTAACAGCGGGAGCTCATGCTGCTCCCCGGATTCGAACCTGAAACCTTTTGGTAAGCAAGTTCAGCAGCTCAGCGGTTCAATCCACTGCTCCACATACAAATGGCATAATAAAATAGTATCCTTTTTATGAACTACTACCTATTGAACTACTCACATCTGCATGTTTTCGAACTGCTAGGTTGGCAGAAGCTGGGGCTAACAGCAGGAGCTCACCCCACTTTGAACCTGTGACCCTTCCGTCAGCAAGATCGGCATCTCAATTATTATTTTATTATTATTTAGAGGTTTTCTATACCGGCCTTCTCAACCTCAACGAGGGACTCAAGTTGGTTTACAGCATATATAAAATACAATCATATAAAAGAACAACAAGTACAAATCATTACATATTAAAATAGTACAATACAGTACAGTAAAAACATCATCATTACAGTTTCCTAAGCCCCAATCGTCAGTCCAGTCCTGGTCATAGTCATGCTCGTAGTCACAGTTCATCATAATTCATCACAGGGAAAGGTTCGAGGTTCAGTCCTCGAATGCCGCCTTCCAGAGCCAGGTTTTTAGCAATTTCCTGAACGTCAGGAGGGAGGGGGCAGATCTGACCTCTAGTGGGAGGGAGTTCCAAAGCCGGGGAGCCACCATCGAGAAGGCCCTGTCTCTCATCCCCACCGACCGTGATTGTGAGGGTGGTGGGACCGAGAGCAGCCCCCCCCCCCCAGAAGATCTTAATAGCCTTGATGGTTCATAGGGGAGAATCCGTTCGGACAGGTAGACTGGGCCAGAGCCGTTTAGGGCTTTATAGGTCAGAACCAGCACTTTGAATTGTGCACAGAAGCTGATCGGCAGCCAGTGGAGCTGGCGTAACAGAGGGGTCGTGTGGTCTCTGTACCCAGCCTCCGTTAGCAATCTGGCTGCCGCACGTTGGACTGATTGAAGCTTCCGGCCAGTCTTCAGAGGCAACCCCACGTAGAGAGCGTTGCAGTAGTCTTAACAGGATGTAACCAGAGTGTGGACTACCGTGGCCAAGTCAGACTTCCCAAGGTACGGGCGCAGCTGGCGCACAAGTTTTAATAGTGCAAAAGCTCCCCTGACCACCGCCGAGACCTGGGGTTCCAGGCTAAGCGATGAGTCCAGGGTCACTCCCAAGCTGCGAACCTGCGCCTTCAGGCCGCTGCGCCACCATGGGCTCCCATGCAAATATATGTCTATGCAAATTTTTGGTATCCCAAAATCCAAAACACTTCCGGTCCCAAGAATTTGGGACAAGGGATACTCAACCTGCATCACTGAATGCTTGAAAAAAGAATAATCCATGCCTGATTTTTTTCCACTGTCTATGTATGGCTCTGAAAGGAAAAGAGGGAGGCCGTACTACAAGCAGATTGATTCAATCGAGGCAGCCACGGCCCTGAGTTTGCAAGGCCGTGGCGATCTCTCCTTTGCAGGGTCACCCGAAAACGAAGCCAATCCGATGACAAATCAAAAGGAACAACAGTAAACAAGGAAAGGGCAACTGTGCCTGTGGAGCTCCTGCGGGCCAAGAAGCCGGGAAACATCAGCCCCCGAGGGCCATCTGGGCTTGATCAACACAAGGAGCCAAGTGGCAGTGAAAGGACCTTTTCCCCAAAAAATAAAAATGTGCAACACATTGTCGTCATCTCGACCCCACAAAGTGAATTTCACCACAAAGGAAGGGAAAGCTGCAATCAATAACCCTGAGAAGAAGACAGGGGATATTTTCCATTTCTGTCACTTCGGATTAGTTTTCCAGACCCATGAAGGACCGGCCACGGAATTGTTCCCAATGCTTCTCTTTCGGGAGAGGAAGAGACCCAATGGGAGGTGCCCGGCACAACTTTGCCAACATCGGCATACAAAGTGCCACAGCATGTCATCATCTGTGCACATTCAGAAGATCTACAAGCCGACCAAGGGCAAGATGGATGGATGGCGTCCTTGAGGTGACTGGACTGACCTTGAAGGAGCTGGGGGTGGTGACGGACGACAGGGAGCTCTGGCGTGAGCTGGTCCATGAGGTCACGAAGAGTCGGAGACGACTGAATGAATCAACAACAACAACAAGCCACTCTAAACACCTTTGCAGAAGCATATGAGAAGCTCGACCTGTCATTGAATATTAAGAAAACCAAAGTGCTCTTCCAGCAGTCATCAACCAACCCCTCTCCAATGCCAGAGATACAGCTTCGTGGTGTCACCTTAGAAAATGTGGACCATTTCCACTCCCTTGGCAGACACCTCTCCACAAAATTCAACATCGACACCGAAATACAACACCGCCTGAGCTCTGTGAGTGCAGCATTTTTCCGAATGAAGCAGAGAGTGTTTGAGGACCGGGACATCCGTAGGGAGACCAAGGGGCTTGTCTATAAAGCTATTGTCCTCCCAACCCTGCTCTATGCCTGTGAAACGTGGACTGTCTACAGGCATCACATGCAACTCCTGGAACCATTCCATCAGCGCTGCCTCTGGAAAATCCTACAAATCTCTTGGGAAGACAAGCAGACAAACGTCAGCGTGCTGGAAGAAGCAAAGACCACCAGCATTGAAGCGATGTTCATCCGGCATCAACTCCGCTGGACCGGCCACATTGTCCGCATGCCCGGGCACCATCCCCCAAAGCAGTTGCTCTACTCCGAACTCAAGAACAGAAAACGGAATGTTGGTGGGCAGGAAAAGAGATTGAAAGATGGGCTCAAAGCCAACCTCAGAAACTG